ATCTCACCCAGCCTATTGTTTCCAATCATGCTTGCATGAAATTCTCACTTTATACTATCTAGCTTTTTCTACCCTCACTCACTCCACTGAGGAAGGACTAGTGTTGTCCGAAAGCTCTGGTTCTATTTCTGGCTGTTTACTTACGTCTACTTTTTAGCTGTTGCTTATCATTTTTGTATCTCTACTGAGATCCAGCCATGATGGACCCGAAACGTCAATCTTTCTTGTCTTTAAATTTTGTTTTGGAAAAAAAAAAAAATATATATAGATAATAATAAAGCAGCTACAATAATATATATGCATACACTATAGGAAAAAAAGAAAGAAAAAACAGAAATGATGGGGGAGGTCCTACAGCAACAAAGTATGCAAATGTGGTGGACAAAGCATTCTACTAGTCTGCCGAAATAAGTAATCCCAATAAACAATAATAGAAAGAACAAAAGATCAAAAAAGAAGGTATAATAATTAAAACAAGTAGATGTTCAGTCTACTGACTACATACACTTTCATAATTTGGGCAGTGGATATTTGTCATGTGGGTATGATGCTATAGTGTGTTTTTTTTTATGGCTCCTATGCCTAATTGAGGATGAAATATTAATTTAATGATTATCATTGATTATTGTTATTATTAATGTTTAATTTCTAGAAATGGCTGTTTCCTGAACTGGAAGAAAGACAAGAGGTAAGTGTTACCTCACTGATTCAGTGGAACAGGGGGGTAGTTTTATCGTCCAAAAATCTGTTCAAACAAACCTGCGGCGATAATTACACAGCATACTTCCACACGGTGAATGCTCACCAAATCAATATCGCAATTGTTATCCAATACATTGGGTGTTATACAATCAGTTTTGAAATTTGAAATAGGTCCCGGCCCCCCTCCCTTGAATCTGCTAACTGGCAATCTTCATTACTCCTGGTCGTATTTATGTTTCGATGTCATGGTGGCTGTGATATTCGGATATGAGTTTGCGTCAGGAAGTTATCATGGGAGAGATGTTTTGCCCTACCTGGTGGCTGTAGTTCCTAAAAAAGAAAATGAATTATTGTGCATTATGGTGTACATTAAAGACTCCTTGACAATCGACTCCTTTCTGTCTTCTTAAACAATCTAAAAACCCACTTATTCTCTTCTTAATTCTAATGTCTACTTTTCTCTATCCTAATATTCTATACATAGGCGTGTGTGTGCATTAATTTTAATGAATTTCATTTTTATTTTTTACTTTATTATTTTTTATTTTTTATTTATTTTTTCCTCTATTTATACTGTATAATGTGTTTAATTCGACTTGTAAAATTTTATAATCTGATTCATAATTTCATAAGTTATTTCTATTCTAGTTAACCATTTTATTTGTACATATTATGTAGGTTTATTTTTATGTAAAACTGGGTTGATGAGGGACACAGACACTTTGTTATAGTGATTAAGTTCACTTTTGTGCCCCTGCCAATCAGCTCAGTCTTGTTTTCATTTTCTGTATAATTGTTTTTTTTTTGTTTGGCAATAAAAGAATAAGAATAAGATTACTGTATAATATACTGTATAATATCATTTTATTTTGTGACTGCAGGCAAAATCAGCACCGTCGTCTACTTCACCACCATCTCACCAGGAGTCAGAGTTTGTCTTTCCATCCCCCAGCTCTAGGAATAAGGCAAAGTCAGCAACACCACCACCATCTCACCAGGATTCAGAGTTCTTGTCTCCATCTCGCGGCTCTAGGAATAAGGCAAAGTCAGCAACGCCGCCACCCTCACTACGATCTCACCAGGATTCAGAGTTCTTGTCTCCATCTCGCGGCTCTAGAAATAAGGCAAAGTCAACAACACTGCCACACTTACCACCATCTGACCAGGAGTCAGTGTTTTTGTCGCCATCCCCTGGCTCTAGAAATAAGGCGAAGTCAGCAACAATACCAAACTTACCACCATCTGACCAGGATTCAGAGTTCTTGTCGCCATCCCCTGACTCTAAAAATAAGGCAAAGTCAGAAACACCGCCACACTCACCACCATCTGACCAGGATTCAGAGTTCTTGTCACCATCCACTGGCTCTAGAATTAATGCGAATTCAGCAACAATGCCACACTTACCACCATCTGACCAGGAGTCAGAATTCTTGTCTCAATCCCCCAGCTCTAGAAATAAGGCAAAGTCAGCAACAACACCACCCTCACCACCATCTGACCAGGAATCAGAATTCTTGTCTCCATCCCCCGGCTCAAGAAATAAGGCAAAGTCAGTAACAACACCACCCTCACCACCATCTGACCAGGAATCAGAATTCTTGTCTCCATCTCCCGGCTTTAGAAATAAGGCAAAGTCAGCAACAATACCACCCTCACCACCATCTGACCAGGAATCAGAGTTTCTGCCTCCATTCCCTGGCTCTAGGAGTGAGCAACAAGAAACATGTGTGAAGCTAGTGAGTCATGGACCATCTTGAATTCTATCTATGTATTTAAAATGTAAAACAGGCAAATTCACAACTATCCAATTAGTTGAACCCATCATGAACAATAATATTTTTTTATTTATTAATAACTTTTTTTGAATAACAAAAAAATTTTTTTTAAATTTATTTAATTTTTTATTTAATTTTCTATTTTTTAAAAAATTTTATTAATTATTAATTTTTATTTTTGTATTTCATCGTTTACTGTGAACTAGCAGTCAGTACTCATCTCCAACAGATTTCTTCAACTATTGGGCATTCCTGATGCTCATTAATCTTTACGTTTTTGTTTACAAATCGTGTTTTATCTTGTATGTGCATGTCAAGCATCAAATAAATTCAATCAATTTATATTGTGACTTCATGGTGGTATCTGGCCTGTGAAGTTCATGTGAGATTTGAAACTGTCATCCTCTACTGCCATATGTGTTTTAGGCACATCTAGTATGCATATTGTGAAATCGATAAAACAACATATAATAAAATAATCTCTAGGTGTGCCAAGTTTTATTTCAAGCTATCCATTGCTAAAGACGAATCATGCATTATAGTGTAGATTACTGTATAATATATAATAACAATTTATGATATATTATTATCTCTACTATATACAGTACTACATATTAATAATTTATTGTCTATTTACAGGCCAAATCAGCAGTTCCACCAATCTCACCACCCTCTCATCAAGAGATATCATCATCGAAAGGTTTGGAATTTCAGCTACCATCCCCAGCCACTTCCATGTATAAAATGAGAAACATGAAGGTATTAAGTGTTGGGGTTTCAATTTTACCTAATTTGAGGCTTGCCATTCTAAAGCCAGCGCATTCTTTCTAATTGTTAAACTGATTTGATTAACATAAGAGTGTGGCAGCATTGTATACTTTAGTGCAGAGAAGCGGTAACACTTTTACTCTTAACTTTGGCAATAGTAAGTTGATTACAGTAAATGACCCATCACTTGAATGCATTAGAATGTAGAAAAATATATTAAAAAGTAAATTTTTATTTCTTGGTCACTGATGCTAGTTGCCAATGAATTGAACCCAACAAGTAGAGTATCAGTCAGTGAGTTGGACATGGTTAAATAACGATTATGGGACTCGGTTCTAAAAGAGTCTCAAAACACTGGTTTAGAAAATTGTGCATTTGTTACTGTATTAATTTATATATAGATTATTGTAAATTGACAATTTATTTTATATTTACAGAGGGTAAAGTCACCACCAACACCATCATCACCACCATCGTCATGTTCTGGAAAAAAACAAAGCCGCCGACCCAAGCCTTGCCCGTTCCCAGAGTGCAGTAGTGTTGTGCAGCAATTGGCCCGACACCTAAGATTTGCACATAAATTAAAACAAAAAGAAGCATTGCTACTTAGTGACCGGGCCAATGTTAAATGCACTGGGGAATTTGGAATGCGGAAGTGCCCTGTCCTTGGTTGTGGGAAAAATCGATCTAGAGTCGACCGACATTTACAAAACGAGCATCAACTCAAGATAAGTACGTACATTTTTAGGGTTTATTTCCTGTGAAATGTGATTAGTTGATGATGCTATATTATGGGTTGTATACTATTTAGATGTCTTTGCTTGAATTATGTTCATCTAAAATACATTTTAAAATAAAAACCACATAGGTTGGTTCAGATAGTCAACTGTCTACAGATTTACAGCCAAGAACTGTTGACTCATTTCAAACAAAGGGGTGAGCATAAACATATTTTAGATTGCAGAAGTGAACTCTGGATTTAACACAGCGGGTCTCACCCAAACTTTGATGTTTCCAGTGCGCTTCCAAAAACCTTGACCGCCAGGGGTTTGAAAAAAATAGTATCAGCCACCACCAGATATTTTAGCGAATTTTAACACTTTTCCAAAGCTCGTTGAGAGTGTGTATGTGATGTAATGAATACTATAAGAACTACAAACATCTTAACTTTACAATGGTACCGAACACTTTATTCTAATCTCAATCTGTGACCCGTAACAGTAAAATGAAAATTACTCACTTTTGTAGATTTTACGCAATTTCGCACAACGAAGCAGAGATAATTGCGATTTCGTGAAAGTTCTACTACCACTACGCTCAATGTAAACAAACAAATAGTGAAATACTTAAGTCCAGACTGAATATAATGTTAAAATTGTTAGTACTTGTTGGTAATTACCCCGTCTATCGGATTCTGTAAAAAAACCTGAAACATGGACATCTCTGTGTTTGGCGGTCAAGTGTTGTGTTAGCAAGCACGGAGATCTCTGTGTTTGGTGGGCAGAGTGTTAATGCATTGCTATTATGTGCAGTTTTATTGTGACTTTTTACAGATGATCATTGTCGGGCCGTCAAAATGTGTTTTATAGCCACAGGCAGTTGACGGGCCGCACACATAAGGGTTTTAATTCATTTTAGCTTGCTGCAAAGAAATTTGGGGTCGCATTGATTCTTACAATAGTTCCAATACGAGCATAAATCTGAAAGTGTTATTCAGTATAATGGCTGAATAGCTAACAAAATAATATAAAATAATGATGCTCCCACCCTATCATTATGGCAGTCATGTAGTCTACTTGAATTAACTAAAATAATTTACTATGTTTGATTGGTTTTTTTTTTCAGACAGTAAAGAATACAAACAACTTATGGCTAAATGCAAGGCAAGTTATGAAAAAAAGAGGAGAAAGAACCAAGGTAAGAATCTATGTGAAAGATGAAAAATGGTCATTGTTAGATTGTTATTTTTTCTCCATAAAGGATTGTTTTCCTAACAAAAAACCTAGCAGGCTATATGGAAAAGTTTGTTATTGACCCTATTGAGCAGTATGTTTTAATTGATCTGTTAATTTGCATGCTAAGAAAAATCAAATCATACACAGTGCAATAATGACTCACATTAATATACTGTTCAGTGAAAAGTAGTTTCATTGCTGTAGATAAAAATAAATGTTCTAATATTTTCGTTTTAACAGAAGAATCGGCAGAAGGGAAGGACTGCCAGTATATCGAACCCATGCTTAGCCTCTTCAAGAAGCACTTGATGTCTTTAAATGGGGGCATGGTGAATGAGACAAATGCAGACCAATGTGTGTCACGTTTGCGTAAGATATGTGAAATGGTCGGAGGCGTCAGCGGCCTGAAAAACCTTAGCATTATGAGAAAGTGGTTTTCTTCCTTTCAGGATCAGACAACTAAAGGTGGTAAAATTTTAACACCGAATACGGTATTAATTTACGTAGGAACTTATCGTAATTTTATGAAGTTTGCTTTCCTTTCAAAGCTTTTCCCTTTCAAGGCTACTGCCGATGCCCTCTATAAGGAAACCTTCAAGTGGCAGGCTTTCCTCAATCCGCTTAAGATGGCTCGGGATGCCGAGGTAATTGCCACTAGTATGCGGAATACACTCCAACACTCAGAGTTTCTAAAGCTATCAGGCAATTACCCAGTAAAGAATCAAGCTTTGGAACTTCTAAACAGGTGCGAAATGGAGAACATCGACTGCGATGATAAGGGTTTCTTTACTGTACGAGATTACATTATGATGTTGCTCGTTGCAAAGTCTGGACAACGCAGTGGATGTATCCGCAGTTTGACCTGCTCAGATATTTTAAATTCTAAAGAATCTGAAGGTCGGCAGATAATTTTAGCATCAAGATATAAGACTGCTTCGTCTGGTCATGCTGCTAAGATTGTGCTGGACAAATCAGATTTTAAGGTAGTGCAGAAATACATCCAGCACATTCGGCCATCTGTTGCAGGTGAGATAGAGTATGCCTTCACGGACAAGAATGGCAAGCAGCTAAATTCCGCCTGCTTTGACAAACGACTGAAAATTGTGTGGGCAAATGCTGGCAACAAATCAAAATTCAGCTGCTCGCAGTTGCGAAAATCCTTCTTTGGAAGTCCTGTTAGGTCGCAAAATTTGAAACTGGGAGTGCCTGTGACTCCAGGAGACAACAACTCATCGTCATCATTACAACGATTGACACATTCGTCAGCATCACCAGCATCACCAGCACCACCACCACCACCATCATTACCACCACCATTACCACCACCACCACAATCACCACTACCGCAGTCACCACCATTGGTAAAGCAGACTGCACCTTCTATGCAGTCCAGTTCATCAGCAATCCGATCTCGCATGGCATTTTCACTTAACCAGGATTTAAATATCATAAGGGCTTTCTCCCATCACATACATTCCTCTGGGCCTTTTAAGATGTGTTCTGTGCGACAGGTTTTGGCAGAAGATGCATCTTTATGTAAAAGCCTGGAGGGGTTTCAGGAAGGAGATGGCCCGAAACTTAACAAAAAGATCTACGATCGGGTGAGGGTTTTGAGGAAGAGAGCTCATAAAAAATCAACACAGCGACCGACACCATCATTGTTACTACCACCACCACCACAATCACCACCATTGGCAAATGTAGATTAAGGTCCTTTCAAAATATTAACATAAGTACAGTAGCTGAATGAGCACTGTCATTAAATAAGTAATGCACTCAAAAATATCAATAAGTGACTCCATGTTAATTTGGGTTTTTTTATACAGTGTACTATTTAATATAACAATAGCATTATATAATATTATTAATATTTATTAATACATTATTATTATTGTTAAGTCTGAAAAATATATAGCTAATAATGTTTTTTAAATGATTTTAAAGAATAAATGTAACTTGTAAACATAATCATTTCATAGCTGATGGAGTTTGTTGAAATTACAAATAGTAAATTCAATTTTCTGACAGCCGATTTTGGCTAAGAGATTTCCCAACAGTGATTCCTGTAGAGTGTGTCTTCCACTGCTCTAGTAAACCTTTTACTTTTGCATCACAAATGCAAATACCTGAAAATGTTCAAAATTCTGGTTCTCATTTTGGGTGCTTGTGCAAAATTAGAAATTGTGAAAAATGGTAGGTTTTGCCAGAGCCGGTCACATATAGCCTGGGTTTCCTGCAATCTATACAGTCTATTGCTGTGTTTCCACAAAAACATTACATTGTTGCAGTTGTCCCGACAAAATGCTGAGCAGGTGATTTGTTGAAAATTTGTTACCGAACCAGAACAGTTGTTTGGCCTGTTAATTTGCATGGTAACCCAAATTGTACTTGTGAAATATGTCATTCACATTAATTTTTGTTGCTGTAGAACAGGGGTGGGAATAAAAATGAGTCGGAGGACCAAACTGAATTTTAAAATAGCAAGCAAACATAAGGTGCAAGTTTAAAATTTCCAATTTTCTTGAAAAAAACCTTAATACACTGCTTTTAGACCGTTCTATGCTAACTTTTAATGTTGCTTTTTACTGATGTTCGGCGTCAGGCCATAAAAACATGTGTTTTTTTAGTTCTTTTATAGACTGCTTACTCTGCATAAAGGTAAAGTAGTAGATAGTATCTATTACTTACTTTGTTATCTTGATCATAATTATTTGTCCATATGACAAATTTGCGATCTTCTGACAAAAGTATTGCAGATTAGTATAAAAATCTAGTAGACATATCCAATCCATATCCAATTTATATTAAAATCCTTCATAGTCAAAAAATTCAAATCTTCACTAGTACTTCTAATCTGTTGGATTGGATATACATTTTTTTCATAATAGCAAGACAATTTTTTTGCAGTTACTATGTATTGAAATATAATCTATTATCCACTGTAAGAAAGTATGTGATATTTCGACCTGTTCAGATGCTCAGAACTTTGAAGAAGTTATAGGCATTTGTGTAGTCCATGCATCTAGCTCATCTAGCACTGCTGGAATTGTAATGACCAATCCGATTTCATCATGGTGCATAAGTACGTCAAGCATTTGGCTGAAAAAAGTGTGTCGTAGTGAGTTTATGATAGAGCTATCCAAAATCTATAAATTTTTGGTATGTGATATTTTGTTCTTGTTTGTTTTCTTTTCCTTTCTCCTTTGAATATAATAGTATATTGTAGATTTATGTTTCTTTTTAAATAATAGTAGTAATTAAATAAGTAATTAGATATGGTTAATAATTTCCCACAAAACAATAACGTAAATGGACGTAAACATGCAAGTTTGTGGACGTGTGTTTGTTGGCCAAGCGCATATTAGCTTTACACTTCTGATTGGTCAGTTTGCTATGTTTTATTGACACACTAGAACAGGTCCATTGTATAGTAAGGAAAAATGTAACATTTTTAGGGGTCGTTCAACATTATCAGCATTTTCACAACTGTACAAACAGTACGAGGGGGGTGGGGGAGGGGTAGACAAATTTGTATACTCTTACATATGCATAAAAATGTTGATTCAAAATAACATGCAATATGTAATATAATGGTAAAATTATAATGTAACCATAGATATAATATTCATTTTTAAGCAACCAATTGCATTAGTTGACTTAAAAAGAATGGAGAATGGTTTTGCAAAATCAACAATTTTTTTGTACACTTTCAGAGGGGAGGGAAGGGGTACCGAAAAAGAGTACTGTTTGTACACTTGTGAAAATGTCGATAATTGTGAACAACCCCTTAATTAACATTCTCTAGATGCAATATGTAATTTGAAGTAATACTCAATAGAGCTTGTTTGGATGTGAGTGAAGACTGGTTTCCATAAAAATCGCTACCCGCTATTGCCTATTCTTTTGGCGACGCTGATTGGTCATAGTTGAACCAGGGAGCGTTCCTAATGTGTCGGGTACAGCTACGTAGTTCAAGGATTGCAGGAGCTATAGCAGCTGTGTAGCAATTCAATGGAAGCCAGGTTTGACTGTCGATGTGGATGTCTGAAAAGTATTGTGGTAGCTAGTTTAGAGAGTGCTGTATGCAATTATGTAAAAAACAAATCCTGCAAATATGGTGCTAGATAACTTTGTGAAATACAATGTATAAATTATGTATACTAATGGTTCCCAAGCTGCCGCAGAAAAATAATTGGGGGTCTGCCAAGTCAAAATGATCTCCAGAGCGTTCACGAAAACTTTCGTGGCACACCAGATTTTAAATCAATTTTTTCTTGTTTTACAACAGCGTGATAAACATCTTATTGCTAATCATTGGGAGCCTTATCAACAATGAAATAGTTTTAATGTATGTTTGTGGCGAATAATCTTCAACTAATTGTCATTGTATTGGAATATTTTCAAGAATTGTGAAAGAAATGTGTGTAATATGTATAAACATATTGATGAATAGGTTGACAGGGTTTTAAAGGTTTTTAAACTACACTTTACTCCAAAGTTAGTTTGAGTGTGAGAAGGCAATGTTCTTAAGAGAAAGATTTATTATATTTTGTGACTTAAAATTTTATATCAAAATAATAATAATTTTCTTTCAAAATAAAGATTTATTTTCTTTAAACAATAGATTTTCTGATCTCTTCATTTAATGGTTAATAATTTCATATTTTTGGAGATTCAGTGATGATTATCTAGATGATGATGACAATGATGATTAATTAAATTACCTACCTACCTACCTGCCTGCCTGCCTACCTGACAGCTTCAGTGACGGATCCAGAAATTTGAAATAGAGGGCGCTTAGGGAGACACGTTCCCAGATGTTTGTTAGACCACCACAGCCGTATCATGGTTGGGCACCTAAATTCACCTCTAGATGGACATAAATGGCACTCTCATGAGGCGCCAAATGTACTTTCATTATTTAACAAAATTAAATACATATAATTCATTATTTAATATAAGTGCCGATAGTCATTATATATAAATATGATTTTAGTCAAAGTCATTATTTATAAATAATTATTTTAACATCACATATTATTTGTAAATAAGGTAAATTGCTCCACTAATTATTTATATATATTTGTTTGAAGAAAACTAATTATATGTATATAATGCATGTACATCATTTTATATAAATAGTGTTTTCACATACAATTATTTAATGGCGAAATCATTTATACTGTCTCTTATACACATC